TTACTTGTTTATTTTGGTTTTTGAGACAGGGTTTCTCTGTGTAGCCTTGGCTGTCCTGGACCTCTACCTCCCAAGTTCTGGCATTAAAGGCGTGTACCACCATGCCCTGAACAATAATACAACAGTTTTTAAAATAAGAAAATATTACGGCAATGTTTAACAAGATAACCCTTGATGGCCTAGAAAACAGAAGGGCTGGCAAGGAGGTGGGCAGTCAGGAACTTTTCAGTAAGAAATACAGGTCAATTATCCCTCATGTTAAGTGCTTGGGACCAAGTGTCTGAGGCTGAAGGGTGGGAGAGTTTGCATCCTGATATTTGTATAGATTTTATCAGCTTAGCATTCCTAATGTCAAACCTAGAACCTAAAGTGCTCTGAAATCCAAACCATCTTAGAATCTTTTGTGCAAGTGCTGATGCCCAAAGCAGACACTGAGGGTAGAGCCCCCTTGACTGCTCTCTACCATGTACTCTGAGCCAGTCTCTCACATGACCTCAGACCTGGCAGATTCAGCTAGTCTAGTCCATGACCTCAGACCTGGCAGATTCAGCTAGTCTAGTCAGCCAATCTGCTCTTGGGGGTCCCTCAACCCTGCCTCCTGAGTACACCCACCTAGCACTACCATTTACAAGGTTTCAGGGGATCTGAACTCTGGTCCTCAGACTCTGATGATACACTGTTTCCCTGCTGAACCATCTCCCCATCCCATCCTGTCCTGTGTCATGCCAGGGAACAAGAAGTTCCCGATCCGTAGAATTTGGGATATGGATTTTACATTGGGAGGCTCACTCAATCTGTATGTTTCAAAGTAAATGTATTCATTCCCTGAAACGAATAGAGTTTCTACTATTTTATAGACATAAATAAATAAATATGAGGTGTTTTTCATCTTCTGAAAGATGGCATCATCACCTTCCATCTGAGACTTGTCAATGTCTCATCCTACACTGTTCTATTTGAATAACAACAGCAAAAGTTACTGGGAGAAACTTGGCTTGAAATAACCTAGAATCACTGTTTTGAGTAGAAAAGAAAAATCCCATTGGAGAAGACATTGAAAAGCGAGGCAAAAGGTGATGCTGATATCCTAATTCACATTTTGGAAGCACATGCTACTCACAGTTACAATCTATTCATTTATATTAGTTTGGTTTCTGCTTATTTGCCTTTGGAGGCTGGGTTTTATAGTTCAGACTGGCCTCAAACTCCTTTTGTAGTTGAGGATGACTTTGAACTCTAATCCTTCTGCCTCTACTTCCCAAGTACTAGGATTAAGAGCTAAAGACCACTTTAGAAAGCAGTGCTACACCAGGCATGGTGTCTTGAATGTCCTCAAAGCACTAGGGAGGCTGAGGCGATAGGATAGTTGTGAGTGAGTTCAAAACAAGCTTGGGCTACAGTAGTTTAGCTTGAGTTACAGCGTGACTCTGTCTCAGTACAGCCAGACAGTGATAGCATTGAAATGCAGCATCTGAATTTAATCACAAGGGACATCAAAGCAACCTAAACTGACACTGTACAAAATAACTGGGTAGCACAAAAGACAAAGACAGGCTGAGGAACAATCCTTGATTATAGGAGACTAAGGAGCCAGGCAGCTAAATGCTTCCCCGTCCTGAACATTATCCACCATTCTTCCTTCCTTCCTCTTCAGACAGGGTGGGTCTCTGGCTGGCCTGCAACCAGCTACAAAGACCAGGCTAGCTTTTAACCCACAGAGCTCTGTCCGGTCACTGTCACTGAGTACCGGCATTAAACGCATGTGACACCATGCCTGTCTTAAATCAACTGATTTTTTACTACTTCAAAAGTAGGGTCAGTTTCTTAACTCAGCCACACATGTAAAACTAATGTCCTGGTTTGGTCTTTGGTCAATGTGACACAAGCTACAGTTACCCGAGAAGAGGGAACCACAATTGAGAACATGTCACCATGAAACTGACCTGTAGGAAAGTCTGTGGGGACATTTTGTTAATCAGTGGTTGACGTGGAAGGGCCCTGCCCTGCCACCCCTGGGTAGGTAGTCCCCTCATATATAATAAGAAAGTAAGCTAAGCAAGCCACGGGGAGCAAGCCAGTTCCTCTCTCCTCACTGTTGTTCTTTTGCTTAAGTTACGAGCAGAGTAGATGGTACACGAAACCATCCTTCAGTGACAGGTAGATGGAAACATGAACCATCAGACTCAACAAACCCATGTGGAGTTTAGTGGGGGAGGGGTAAGGTGCCAAAGGGAAAGGGGAAAGAAGCGGAGAAGGGGAAGTGAGAGAGAAAAGGGGACGAAGAGAGAGAGAACATGTGGAGGTGCTCGATTAAAAGGGGAAGCTTGCACATGTGTACTGAGTCCTTACACGAGCAGGCTGAGCAATCATGGGGAGCAAGCATTCCTTCATGGCCTCTCTGCTTTAATTCCTGACTTGAGGTTCCTGACTTGAGCTCATGTCCTGACTTCCCTGAGTGAGGAAATATGACCTGTGAGCAGTAAACTGAAATAAAACTTGTCCTCCCCAAGTTGCTTTTGATCATGGTGTATTTTTTTGTTTGTTTATTTTTATTTTGTTTTTCAAGACAGGGTTTCTCTGTGGCTTTGGAGGCTGTTCTGGAACTCACTCTGTAGACCAGGCTGGTCTTGAACTCACAGAGATCCGCCTGCCTCAGCCTCCCGAGTGCTGGGGTTAAAGGCGTGCGATATCACCACCTGGCTTCTGCATAGGCTTTTGAGTATTAACAATCTCCAGCGTATATCTGCCCAACTCCTGTGAGATGAAGTGCTATATTTACACTTACTGACAGTTCATCTTGCTTCAAAGAACATGGATTTGTGTTTATGTGCATTCCTGAGTGTGCAGGAGGCGGGGGTATACAGTAGAGGCTGATGTTGAGATGTCTCTTTGATCACGTTTTCCACCTTCCTTTGAGACAGGGACTTTTACTGAACCTGAAGCTCATTGTCTGAGTTATACTGGGTGGCCATCTGGCTCCCCAGGACCCAGCCACCTCCACCATTCTGGGGTTACAGGCACTGGCCTCCATGCCTGCCTTTTACACGAGTCCTGGGGATCTGAACTCAGGCCTTCGTGCTTCTGCAGCAATCACTTTACCCACAGAACCACCTCCTCAAGTCCCTAAAGAATGTTAAAAATGCCCAAAGTATATGCACCATGCAACGAACCATCAAAAGTCAACTTTCCAGTAACAAAACCTGTGCAGTTTGAGCATATTCCCAACAGCTAACATGAGCACATTCCAAGAATGTGTACTCTTGGCATAGTTTGCCAACACTCATGCCAGAAAACGTTACTCCTTTTCAAAATGTTCACCCTACATTCAAAATAATGACAACTTGGAGTCTTAATGTCCCTTGTCAGTTGGGTTTTAACAATTAGTTGGTTAATGAAAAGTACTGAACTGTTTGAAGAAAAAGAACCTAGCTATTTTAGTCACGCATGAAACTGTTAAGTTGGCATCTTTCCAAACATCAGGAGTCATTCCAGAATGTGTGATCCCTCCCAGATACACTTTAATGAGCATTCTGTAATACAGCTATGGGTCCCTGGGACACTGTGGCCACAGCGCTGTAGATGGCCCGAACCTTCCCAGGGATGGGGCAATAGGACACAGAACTGGCCCCTGCCTAAGCTCAGGTTACAGGAGGACAGAGTGCTTCTGCCTTTCTGCATTCCCAGGGGAGGTTCAAACTGATCCAGGGTCTATTTTAACTCAGTTAAAGCATATTCTGGCTAGTGGTTTTCATCAAAGGAAATCTTTAAAGTAGCCACAAAAGAAGAGCTCTGAACATCATTAAACATGTTGACTTAACATCACCAACTAAATTACTACTTTTCTTTGTGTTTTAGATAAAATTGCTGCATAGCATTAGAATGGGGCTGGCTTAGCAGAGAAGACAGGGCTCATGCAGCACAAGGAAGCCTCGTGTCAGAGATATGTACCAGAAGATGACCTTGAACTCCCGATTCTCCTGCCTCCACCACCCAAGAACTGGAATTACAAACCTGTGCTGCCCTGTCCCCCCATCCTCCTCTCAGGCTTTGTTTATATCAGCGGTTCTGGGTCTTGACCCACTGGGAGTTGAATGACCCTTTCAAAGGGGTCACCTAAGACCACTGTAAAACACAGATATTTACTTATTATTCATAGCAGTAGCAAAGTTACAGTTATGAAGTAGCAACAAAATTTTATGGTTCTGGCTTGCTTTCTGTTTTTTTATTCAGTGTGTAGTTTGAGTGAGCCTTCCCATCACAAGGAATTTTCATGCCCAGAAATCTGTCACCAAGGTGATTCTATATTCTGTCAAGTTGGCCATCAATATTAACAACCACGGACAATTTTCTCAGGCATAAACAGAGTACTCATCGCACAAGAAATGGAATTTCAGAGGTCATTTAGGAAAATTCCCTTTACACTGCTCTCCTTTCTCCTGAAAACTGACTTCGGTCTTATGCGGGAGTCCATTCTCTCACCTCATCCCTCTCTGCTCTAATGTTCCCATACAGGAAGGACCCACCTGAGCACCCCAATGAAATGATCATGAAACAGGCTCTTCCCTGAGTAGGACTCCTTCTTTTTCTTCCTCCCCACCTGTCATGTTATAAACACAGTTGTCTTTTCCCCATGAGAGGAATTTTGTTCAGTGAATATAATCCAGTTCTTCGGAGACCATCTAAATCACAGTCACTATTCAATAAGTACTGGCCAAATAAATGAATGCATGTGTTAGCCAAGTGCCACACTTCTGATTTCGCTTCCAGGAAGACAGAGATTCAAACCAATCTTCTGAGACACATGGGACAGAGATTTAATTTCTCCTTCATTGTTGCAGCTTATGAAGCAAATAGATCTACGTTACCCTGCAGGGAGTTTACATAATGCAAGTTTTGCTTGCCCTCTTGCTGGGCTGTGCTGCCCACCAACACACTGCTTGCCTTTCTCTCATCTCAATTCTTCTACACTTACAGAAACAACCCCATCCCTCCCTCCTTACCGTACTGATCCGTTGGACTGGTGAAGAGAAGATAGTCGGAAGCGCAGGTCTTGGACTCAATGTTCAAATCTCCCAATCTCAGAATAAGTCTCTTCCCCTTCGGGACTGTGATAGTCTTTTCACACACAGTGTGATTGGGATAAGTCCCTGGATAATTCTTAGATGTCACCGTGCCACTGTCCTGAGAGGTCACTATGTGCCCACAGCCATCACCTGGAAAAGAAGAAAGAATGGAAAAATTAAGTGCAACCGATTTCAACTAAGATCAAGAGTCTTCTATACTCTCCAAGTCAAGTGTTCTGTTTTGTTTTGTCCCTGAGAGAAGGAAAGGCTAAACAATGAAGACTGAAATCAATTATGCAGCTGCATCTCGTTTCAAATGGTTTCATCTTTGGTTCTCAGTTGTATCTACTGAACTCAGTGGGTCAATTGTTTCTTGCTCTAAATTAGAGTGCACAGACCAAAAACACACCATTTTTTTTTTTCCTACTCATCTATCTGCCTGCCCATCTAAACTTCTTCAAAAGGCCAAGGCCTTTTGTCACACATTTGTCAAGCTACCCTAAAGCCAATAAATAATAAGTTATAACTTTCTTCAGAGTGGTGCTTCTAGGTGAAATAATACATACAAGATGCTCCTGATAGAATGTAGACTAATACTGACAGGATTCTGTTTAGGTGCAAATCCCTTAGCTGAACAACCATTGCATATTTATGTCTCAATCATTGGGATAGTCACAGATTCAAAGATTTCTCATAGACTCAGGGTATCAGAAAACATCAAGGGATGTGTGTGGAGTGCTTGGAACACACTAGACATGGTTTAACTACTGGAGAGTCATACACAACCAGCAAGGGCTGCTTCAGGGAACTTAAGTCCTTCATGTGATAATTGTAATTCTAAGTCATTTTGTTCTCAACCTTCCTAATGCTGTGACCCCCGCCAACCATAAAATTATCTTGCTGCTACTTCATAATTGCAATTTTGCAGCAAGCGGTGGTGGTGCATACCTTTAATCCCAGCACTTGGAAGGGAGAGGCAGGTAGATCTCTGTGAGTTCGAGGCCAGCCTGGTCTACAGAGCTTGTGCCAGGACAAGATCCAAAGCTACACAGAGAAACTCTGTCTCGAAAAATCAAAACAATTGTAATTTTGCTACTGTTATGAATTGGAATTATAAATATCTAATATGCAGGATATCTGATATGTGACCTCCAAAGGGGTCATGACACACAGGTTGAGAACCACTGTTCCAGGTGATACGTGCTATATCAAGAAGCCTAAAACACGGAGAAACAAGATTCCCATGACCCCTCCCCAAGGTTATACAAACAGTCATAGTTTCTGATAAGATACTCTTCAGCCACCTGAGCTGTCTACAGTTGTGCAGGAAGCTCCAGGGATGCAACCAGAATGGGCTTTTCAGTGGTGAAGCTGCCTTTGAATTATCCACTCTCCTGTAAGTAACCCAAATCTGACCGCCTTCCCATCAACCTCATTTGCGCCTTATTTGCATATTCACACTCAGCCAGTTAGGGCCTGACTGGTCCCCTATAAATTCAGGCACCTGAGCGGGCCTCTGGGGAGTAGAAGCACTGCAAAACTCCACAGAGAAGGAAGAAGGCTGTCTTCATGGTTCACCTGGGGTGGACTGACTCCCTGTGCCTGAGGCTTCTGTCCTGGGCACCATGCTCACTTGAGCCAGCCTCCAGGACTCAACCAGAGACTGCAAGCAGAAGCAACTGCCCCTGCTTCAGCCTCCAAGACCCACTGCTCCACAGACCTGCGGTCCCAGGCTTCCATATGTACAGACCTCCAGCCTCAGAGACCTGCAACTCCTGACCTCTGGGCTTGCTACTCCCCATGGTGTGACCCGCAGACTTACACTGCAAGGGACTCCTCTCAGTTGACACCCCTAAGCCTTCACAGAGCTGTATTATGTGCAAGCTCTTTTTATTGGAATCCTACTGAGGGTCCCAGAACTTTCACTTTTCCCTTGAAATTGTTACTTCCAAGTGGCAATAGTCTCCTTTGGTTCCCTTAGCTGACTGCCCACTCCATCCTTGGAGGGAGGGCAAGAAAAGAACTAGATTGGAGACAGGTGGTGGTTTCTACCAACTACTTCACTTTCAGCAGCCAGGTATGGCTAATGGAAAGGCAAGGGCCATGGTGCTGGCCTGGAGCCTGTCAGAGCCAAGGAGCAAGGCCCAGTGAGCTACAGGCTCTACAGGAAAGAGTTTGGCTCTGCTCCTCTTTGGGTCTGAACCTGGCCTAGCCGAATAAGCTGACCTCAGAGAGACTATTGGAGGTGGGAGGAAACACAAGTGGCACCATAGTAGCAGCAACAACCCAGGATAAGGAAGCGATATGGGGTTTGAGCCAGAGGGGTCATGAAGGGAGAACCCTTAGAGACAGCTGACCTGAGCTTGTGGGAACTCATGGACTCTGGACCAACAGTTAGGGAGCCTCCATGGGACTGACCTAGGCCATCTACATGTGTGTGACAGTTGTGTAGCTTGGTTTCTTTGTAAGGGTAACACTTCCCATCCATGTCAGTGTAACCAATGTTGCTGTTTTGACAAATGATCCATACAGGTAATGAGAGTGTTTTATGTTAAAAAAAAAAAAAAAAAAAAAAAAAAAGCCTAAACATGCCAGGCGGTGGTGGCTCATGCTTTTAGTCCCAGCCCTTGGGAGGCAGAGGCAGGCCGATCTCTGTGAGTTCGAGACCAGCCTGGTCTACAAAAGCGAATTCCAGGACAGTCTCCAAAGCCACAGAGAAACCCTGTCTCAAAACACACACACAAAAAAAAAAAAGAAAAAGAAAGAAAGAAAAGAAGAAGCCTAAACACAATGCTAAAGGAACATGAAAGAGAGGCAAGAGACAGTATTTTCATGACTTTTACAAATAACTTGCTAAGACAAGAAGTTACTTTAGATTATTTTGAATAGAGAAGTCCACCAATAAACCAACAGATTGCGCCAGCTGAGAAGTAACCAAATGAAAGACACAACACAATTATCTAATGGCACATAAACCAAGCCAGCTGCAAGGTGAGTAGCCGACACTGATTTGGGCTATACAACAGCTGAGGTGGGTGAGGCATAGCATGAACAAGTGGAGCTCCATTGGTAGAGCTTGCCTAAAGTACCTGAAATGTAGTACCCACTCCCCAGCACCAAATTAGAACAAAACAAAAACCCAAACAAATTAAGAAAGGAAGACACACTGACAGCTGGAGGGAAGAAATCTGTAGGAATTCTCTGAGGCGGAAAAATAAGTCTCCATGGTGTGGCTCTCTGCCACAGAGGACACTCCCCTGGAATCTGGATGGCCCTTCATTCCCAGGCCTTTCCCCATCCAGTAGGGCTCGCCTGAATTCTTCATTCATTCTAGACCTTCCCTGCTTGTTCTGCAGTTTCTATCCCAAATGACTAACAGAAGAAATACACTTTAAAGGTGCTGCAGAACTCCAGAACCCATGGCATCTCAGCAACCAATGCTGAGGGCCAGGAAGGAGGGATTGACCAGAAGCAGATCCAGTCTTAGTGCAACAACAGGTGAAGAGGTGTTGCAGAAAATGTCAGAATGGGAAGATAAAAACACCACTGAAACCTGGAGATTTAGACAGAAGATGGTGGGTACAGAACTTTCTGAGTCGGGAGTTAATAAAAAAGTCTGAGAAACCAAGTGTGGTAACACACATCTTTAATTCCAGCACTCAGATGCTGAGGCCAGGAGACCACACATTCAAGGCCAACTGGGGCTACACAGAGAATTCAAAGACAGAGTGGACAATAGATTTTGACCCTAGCTGATACTGCTGAGATTTAGAGGGGGAAGAATCCCACAGAGGAGGGCTGAGAATGGGAAGCAAGAAGGAAACTCCTCAGGGTTTACATAGCGCCACAGGAAAGATAAGAGGACGACAAAATATTGGCTGTTTTGAGTCCAAGTGACCGGAAGGCTAAGGTTGATGCAGACAGGAAGGCAAATAGAAGACATCACTTAGGTTGACAACTTTGGGGTGATAACTAAATTCCCTGGACTCTTGAGCAGTTACACTAGCAAGAGGCATATTGTGCAATGGCATACAGTAAGTAGGGCTTTGATTTAACATTTGAATTATTTAACATTTGAATTATTGTTTGTCTTCAATGGTTTTAATAGAAAACTAAATTTATAACCTCTCCAGAAAACTAGAAGTCATGTCAATCTCATGAATAGATATTCTCAGAGGTCTAGAGAAATGATTCCTGTCCCTTTAAAGGAGGTAAGCACTCTAGATCTGTTACTTGCTTTTATTCCTTGACCTGCCACTGTAGGTTGATTTTTAGCATCCAGAAAAATCAACTCTGGGTTAACAAGTGTTAAAACAAACAAACACACATAATAACCCACTGTCCATACAACTACACCTTGCAGCCAGCCACCAAGAAGCAGCGTGGCTGACCATTTGAATGTGCTCTCTTTCAGTCTGTGCAATTCTTCTCTAACAAGAGGACAGAAAACTATTTAAAGAGAACAAAGGGCTGGTAAAGCGGCTCTGTGTAAAAGCATTTGCCAAGCAAACTGGAGGACCTTGAGCTTGCTCTCAGATGCCATGGTGAAAGAACAGAATTGACTCTTCAAAGCAGTCCTTATGGTCTATATCTCTGAAAATACCATAATCATCATCATCATCAACACACACACACACACACACACACACACACACACACACACACACACACACGGAGGGGGAGACTTCAAACATGCATAACAGTTAGTTTTTTTTTTAAAGAAGAACTTAAGAAAACACAACTCGACGGCATGACATCCTAGTTGAGGCAGAAGATCAGGAGTTCAAGGCCAGCCTAAGCTATGCAATAATACCCTATCACAAACAAAACACAACTAAAGATAAAATGAAAAGCAAGTTGGGTATGCCTCATACCCATCACCCCAACACTACAGAGGCAGAGGCAGGAAGATGATGCAAATTCAAGGTCAACCTTGTCTACTGCCTTCTAGGCCAAGCAGGGCTATATAGTCAAGCCCTATTTAAAATTAACTAAAAGTAAAACAAGGAGCAAGTCTATGAGTCAACCTCAACATGATTATTAGACTCAAAAATTTCATCTTTTAAAGACTTTTAAAGATATGGCAATAAAAAACTCTAGACATCATTTTTATTCAAAGCTGCAACTTTACTTCTTTCCAGATATTTATGCTCTTAATTGTCACCCAATGGTGACACAAATGGATAGATTTGTCCTAGACATTCCCATCATTGCTATCTATGTATAGGGACCTGGGCCTCCTTGGGAAGATTTCCCTCCCACTCTCAGGATGGAAATCTGCATCCAAATGAAGTGTGGATTCACTGAAATGCTGGGGAGGCTGCTCTCTTTCTCTAGCAGAGCGCACTGTAGGATTTTCTGTGGCAAATGCTGCTTTCCTATTAGGTCAGCAAATGCATCCACTGCCTTTCTACAGTTTTGACGACTTCAAATGACTAAGTAGAAATACAACAAAGGGAAAATGGAAAACTACAAGAGAGAAAATGGTGACAGTATCACATGCTAAATGAGACAGGCCTGCAAACAACACAGGAAAGAAAGGCAGGAGTGCCACAGCTTTGTTACAGTAATGTCAAGAAATCATTAATTTTATTAGCTGTGACATGGTAACGAACTGCCATAAGGGCCTATGGATTGTAGCTCAGTTAATAATAGTGTTCCCCTAGCCTGAATGAAGCCCTGGATTCCACCCTCAGCACCCTAAAATCAGGAGTGGGGGCACATATCTGTCATTCCAGCATGTGGGAAATTTTAACGTGGAAGTTTCACCCCAGTCCCTGGCATCCATATACCCAAAGAGTCTAGGATGTTATGGTAAACGCTTTGCCCCAGTCACTGGCATCCATGTACCCAAAGAGTCTGGGATGTTATGGTAAACGCTTTGCCCCAGTCACTGGCATCCATGTACCCAAAGAGTCTGGGATGTTATGGTGAAGTTCCACCCAAACTCCCCTCCCCCATCTCCCTCCAAACCCCCGCTGCATTTTAGAAAGCCTGCCAAATGATGGCCCCAATCCCCAGCAATACTCAAGATCACTCCCACAGGGCATTTAAACTGCACCCCCTCCCTCTGGGGTGCTGGAAGGCCACACAGGAGCACTGTATCCATTAAACACAGGCTTTTTCTAATTCGGTTTGATTTGGTCTGATTTGGATTGCTGCATTGGTGGAGAAGCTTATAGGGTGTAGAGACTTCTCAGGAGGTAGAGGCAAGAGGATCAGAATCTCAAGGGCATTCTCTGCTACAAAGTTAATTCAAGGTCATCATAGGCTACATGAAACCCTGTCCAAGAAAAGAAAATAAATGAAGGAAGAAAAAGTACCGTTTTTTACAGACACCTACCGACTTACGCAGCGCTGAAATGGCGTTTGCTGTCTGAGATTTGCCTTAAAATACTTAACACAAACGGGGAGAGGCAGGTCAAATGACAAGAGGGCTGTTGTGACTTGCTGGGAGGTGTGCACAACAGTACCAAAAGGACCTAAAACTGAAAAAGTGTGCTGGCATGCGGCTCAGTGGTACAATGCTGGTCCCCAGGCTCTGACTCCATCGACAGCACGGTTAACCAGA